ACACAGCTTCTTGCCACTAAATCACCAGAACTCCCTAATTTCAAAAGGGACAAATTCTGACTCAGCATTTCTTAAACTGAAGGAACTGAAGAACAAATTCAAGCTTAGAGTTGCAATACTTAATTATGTGCAGAATACTGAATGATCTAGGAAGCATCAAAAAAAGATGGAAAGAGTACATACAATCTCTATACCAAAAAGAATTGACTAACACAGGAGAATTTCATGGAACAAATTATGTTCAAGAGGCAATGGTGATAAAGGAAGAAATTCAAACTGCTCTGAAGGAATTAGCAAAACACAAGCCCCCAGGAATTAATGAAATCCCAATCGACATATTACAATGGACAGATATTTCCAAGGACAGCCTGGGAAATGCTCACCCTGTGCCAAGAAATTGGAAGACTATGTCCTGGTCATCTGACTGAAAGAGGTACATATTTGTCCCTATCCCCCCCAAAAGATGATCTGACATAGTGTGGAAATTATTACGTGATATCACCAATATCACAGTCAAGCATATCCTGCTGATGGTCATCCAATAATACCTGGAACAGTACATCGATAGAGAACTATCAGAAATATAAGCAAGGTTTAGAAGAGGCTGCGAAACTAGGGATATCCTCACCAATGTCATGTTCCCCAAAACAGAGAGTACCGTACCATGTCTGTGTTTCATTGTCTGTGCAAAGGCATTTGACTTTGTGGATCACAACAAATTGTGATTAATTTTGAGAAGAATGGGAATTCAGGAACACTAATGCAATAGCTCACAAAGCACACAGAGTCATATTGGCGAAGTCAAAAGGTTATAATCCAGGTTAGTAGCAGAATACAGTCTGAATGGCTTCCAGAATGTGCTTGCAGGCACCACAGCCTTAAGACCCATAGCTTCTGGCCAATGTAACAGGTTCTCAGTCCTGAGAATTATGGCCTTCTACCCATAGTTGTCCAACACACTTAGGCAAAGTCTCTTAGCTCTGGTTCAAATGGTGCAGCAGTCCCAAGGTACTGTCTCATGTCAGGTCTCTGATTTGGCCATGGCTGCTACTGCCATCCGAGTAGCTGGAGAAATAACGTTTGGTCCCAAAGGGTGTCAAACATTTTGTTCTTTCTTCTTTCTCTCAGGGGTGGTTGTTGTTATATGCCATCAAGTCACCTGCAACTCATAGTGACCCTATGTACAACAGCCCTAAACCTTGCTCTGCACCATGTCAATCTTATCGTCTCTGCCAAACCTATCCCCATTACCCCAATCATTGAATCAATCTATCTCATTGAGTGTCTTCCTCTCGTGTGCTGTACCTCTACCCTCCAAAGCATGATGTCCCTTTCCAAGGATTGATCCCACTTTGCAACATGTCCAAAGTATGTCAGACTAAGCGTCACAATTCTTGCCTCCGATGAGTAATCTGGCTCCACCTTCTCCATGATGAACTTGTTCATTATCTTAGCAGTCCATGGTATATTCAATACTCTTCTCCAGCACAACAGCTCAAAGGCATCAATTCTCCTGCTACCATAACTAGTCATTGTTCAGCTTTCTGACACATAGCAAGTAATTGCAAAGGCAATGGCCTGTATCAGATGCACCTCAGCATCCAGACTGATGTTGTTCCTCTTCAGTACTTTGGAGAGGTCTCTGACAGCAGACTTTCCCAATGCAATTCGTCTTTTACTCTATCAAGAGGGTAGATTGTAGAGCCAAGCGAAATGAAGCTGTCAACAATCTCAACCTCATCACCAACTATCATGATGCTGCCAATTGGCCTAGTGGTGAGAATCTTTTTTTTCTTTATCCTGAGCTTTAATCTATATTGAAGGTTGCAGTTCTTGACCTTCTGTAGCAAGTGCTTCAGGTCCTTCTCAATTTCATCAAGGAGGGTTGTGTCATTTGAATAACACAGATTGTTGATGAGTCTACTTCCAACCTGATGTCACATTTCTCCTCATAGAGCCCGGACCCCTAGATAATCTTGTTATTCATATAGATCTAAAATATATGGAGATAGGACACATCTTTGATTCACATTTTCCCCCAATTTTAAACCATGCAGAGTTTCCTTGTTCTGTTCTGACGACTGCCTCTTGGTCCAAGTATAGGTTTCACATAAGCACAATCAAGTGTTCTGGGATTCCCATTCTTCTCAGAATCAGCCACAGTTTGTTATGATCCACACAGTCAAATGCCTTTGCATAGTCAAGGCAACACAGATAGACATCCCTCTTGTATATACTCTCTGCTTTCAGCCAAGATCTTGCAGGGGTACGAAGGTCTTATTCTCCTGCTGCTGGTTTGCTCAATTTAATAGTGAGACTAACTAATCCACTTGAGAATTGGTGAGACTAGCCAATCCTTTTGTGGTTATGCTAACACGCCCCACTTTAATATCCCACCCATCTACATGGCAAAGTAACAAGGTGGCTGGGAAAGTTATACTGAAAGATAAACTCCACCGTGACCTTCCATTGGGATCTAAGAATATACATCTTAATGAGAGCAAATTACTTTATCTTTTTCACACAGAGCAGTTGCTGATTTTATATCAGTAACCTTTTGTTTAGTAACAGAGTGTATATTCTGCTGTACCGTGCTGTCATTGGCTTATAGCAATTAACTGGATTTTTTTGACTGTTTAAAGGTTATTTTGTTAAATATCTTCAGTTCAAGGTTTCATTGTAACAAAGCTATGAAGGGTCTACCAACATTCAGAACAAACACTATTTTTTAAATTATTTCTATGTCATCATGCAAAAATTCTGCATCAAATGCCTTCCACTTCTTGTT